AGTATTCAGTGACATGGAAAGGTGTTCAAATATATTGTTAAAGTTTTCCCCCACCTTTTTTGAGCTATAATGACAAATAAAATTGTATATGTTTAAAGTGTACAACATAATTTGATAAATGTATACATTGTGCAGTGATTACTGCAATTAAGTTAATTAGCTCATTCTTTTTTGTGTGTGGCAGTGGTGGCTTAAGATCTACTCTCTTAGCAAATTTCAGATATTCAGTAGAGTATTATCAACTACAGTCACCATGCTGTGCATTTGATCCCCAGGATTTATTCATCTTGTAACTGAAAGTTTGTATGCTTTCTATTTCCCCGTTTCTCCCACCCCCCAGCCCCTGGGAGCTGCCAATCTACTCTGCTTCTATGATGAGTTTGACTTTTTTTGGTATTATTAGATTCCACATATGAGTGAGATTACATAGTATTTGTCTTTTCTCTGTCTGACTTATTTCACTTTGTGTTCTGATTATTTTTAATTGGGTGGAATGAAGCCGCTAAGTAGGGTGATCAGGATCCTGTGAAGATCAAACACGTTTGAATAAATGTACCTAGTAGATTTCCCAGGATGAACCACAGGAAGAAGGGGTTGCAGAGTCCTGAGATCATGGCATCAGAGAATTTTATTTGTACATTCATGTGGACAAAGATTTTTGGCAGTTGAAATGGGAAAAAAGGGTGGATGTGAGAGTGATTATGAGGAAGGAAATGGCAGTGTTTGAAATCAGAGTTAGTATGTGAAGTGAACGATAAGGAGGTGTTGGTTACTTCTAGATTATGAGGCTCAGAAAAGGCAAAGTGCCAGGAGTCCAAGTGGAAGGAAGAAGAGACATGTGTTTACATTCACGTAACTGTTGATCTTTAAAGTTATATCAGGAAGACAAGGACGTAATCAGGTGTGGTAGTAGGGTTAGATCTTTGTTGAGTGTGGACTGTTAAAATCATAATTACAAAGATGGAGGTATGAGTATCCATGGAGCACTGGAATGGAGTCAGGCTAAGGCCTGGGGAAATCATTTATAGTAATCTTAATTTATGTGTACCCCATACATTTGGATTTTATGAAATCTGAACTATAAGCTTGGTTGAAATGAAAAGACTTAATATTTTAGTTTGAGTTCTATCAGAAGCTGACTCTTAGACAAGGATTTGCGTGCAAGTATTTTGTTTTGGAGGTTATCCCTGCAAACATCAGCAGGGGACCGGGAGGTGAGATGGGGAAGGGAAGTTAGCAGATAAGGGTTTTGTTATCAAGCAAGTTACCACTGTGGGTGACAGAAGCTTATTCCCACTGGGGAACTCTAGGAGCCTGTGTAAAACATGTCCTCAGATTTATACCCTTTTAGGGGGCAAGGTAGGTAGAGTATATATACCAACTAAATCAATCATTGGTTGAGACTGTTTCTAGGGAGTGGTAAATTTATAGCATTTCAGGCCTGACATGCAAGGAACAAAATGGACTTCAGAGGTCAGAGGAAGCCTCGTTTCTCTGTTTAAACAGACAAACAAACAAACAAAATGCAGATGCTCTCAGTCAGTATAGAAGGATTCAGTAAAGGCCAGGAGATATGGGGAAGGGGAACACCCTATTAACTGTTTCCTTAATACTTGCTCTGCAGTTCTAGCATCTCCAGTTCATTTTCTCTAGGCCACCAAAACCCGCATGCCCAGCTTAAATGAGCCAGTCTAGCGGCATATTAGGACTGGCGCCAGGTGTCCTTTTCAGAACATTAAATCCTGGGTCATGGGTTGAGTACCGCCATGTCAACAAACTTTGTCTTACTTTACACTTGGCTCAAGTTCAGCACTCTCAAGGTCCATTCCCAGGTATGTTCTTCCAGTTCCTGTTAGTGCATATCGTCAGGTCCAGCAGCTGTTTTGATGAATCAGCCCTTTTCCATCCAAAGCAGGGACAGTACCTTCCCTTTCTGATGATGTAAGACTTGACCCTAGTTATTAGCGTAGAAGCAGTGAGGGAGGTAGAAACAGATCCTGAGGAGGGTCAGCATCTTTCTAGGCATGCATCGCAGATGAGAACTTTGCATAGTCTTTAGGCAGAGGAGACTGCCCTTGTAGCAAGAGCAGAGAGCCACTTCTTCAGGCCTATAGGGTTCAGGGGAATCTTGGCTGGACTATGAATTCAGTCTTCTTTGTTAAGCTGCCTACTTTCATAAACAGAATTTGAGCCTGATTTTTAGCACAATCTGCTCTCAAGTTGTGGGAGCTGAGGGTTCCTTAAAAAGTGCTGCCATGGAGGTCTCTGGCTCTCATAGCATGCTCTGAGTTGGTACTTGGCTGATTTAAGCCTTGACATTTTCTTTCTTCTGTGCATCCGTCCTACTTAACAAAAGCTCAACCATTTAATTGTCTTTAAAATTTCCAGTCCTCCTGTCTCTCTCAAATGCTAAAGCTATTGTAGAAGCCAATTATCTTCTTCTACCTGTGTCCCTTACTAGCTCCACCACTTCATGAGTCTTAGTACTATCCATGCAGCAGCACACCAGGGGTCCTCACCAAGCTACTTACTGCCAGCACTGGGATCCTTGTCATCTGTTGGCGAGTGATCCACTTACAGAATTCACCTTGAAGGTCTGTTTTACAGGATCAAATCTGTCTTATTTTGGGTTACCCTAGAAGCAAGTGCTCTATAAGGGCTCAAATGCAAATTAAAAAAAAAATTTTTTTTTTTTTAGATCCTAGGAAATACTGGTAGAAGAGTGGAGAAGTAAGACAGAGAAGAAAGTAGCTAGTAAAGGATTTCTTATCAGGCACCATGGGAAAGCCAGACGTGTAGTAATGCAATATTAATTACTATTGCTTTAGGTTGGGTTGGCATGCTTTTACTTAAAGGACCAGATGGTAATTATTTTAGACGTTGCATGCCAGATGCTCTCTGTTGAAAACACTCGACTCTGCCATTGTAGCATGAGAGCATCCTTAGACAATACATAAATGAATAGGTTTGGCTGTGTCCCAGTAAAACTTTATTTGCAAAAACAGGTGGCAGGTCAGATCTGGTCCAGGTACTATAGTTTCTCTAGCTTGCTGACGCCTGCTTTACGTGCTCTCTTGGTTCCAATGCCACAGTAATCACACATGCAGATGTGGGCTCTGAAGTGGCATCGGCAGTGCTTGTAGTTTCGTGGTCATCCAGATGATCTAAAATATGTTTATATTAATTTTTTTAAAGATTAATCTGGAAATAAAGACAAAATTTAGAAAACTGTAATGAAAAACTTAGGGATCTCCAGGAATTCATAATTCTACCTTGAGAAAAAGTGATTTAAAGAAATAGCAAAAGTAGAAGAAGTATATAATAAATGATATATATTATAAAGGACATTATGATTCTCTGTTTTAACCTGTGTTTAGCATTTAAAATTTGTATTACCCAGTGGGAGACCAAGTTTGGGGACAGGGAGGAGGCTTTTGAATATCTTCGTTTCATTATAATTATAGGCTCCTGGTACCAACTCTTGTTTTTTTCTCTAGGACCTAGATTTCATTAGACGTTTGCTGTTTCTGGTTGCTTTTTCTTTGGCTTACTTTCTTTCCGTTTAAAACTGTTTCCTCTTGGGGGCAAATTGTTAGGTAACCATCATGTACATTGAAGCCTATTTGGTAACATTTCAGTGATCTAGGAAAGGGATAGTTTTTTTTTTTTTTTTGCGGTACACAGGCCTCTCACTTTTGTGCCCCCTCCTGTTGCGGAGCACAGGCTCTGGACGCGCAGGCTCAGTGGCCATGGCTCACGGGCCCAGCCGCTCCGCGGCATGTGGGATCTTCCCAGACTGGGGCACGAACCCACGTCCCCTGCATCGGCAGGCGGACTCTCAACCACTGCGCCACCAGGGAAGCTCGGAAAGGGATAGTTTTAATGATCAAAATATTAATTGCAGAATGGTAAGGAATATATTTACATTTTAAATTTTCTTTAGGATATATTTATAACTAAACTTTCAGCAGGCACTTTGCTTTAATAGATACGTAATTTGTGTAGTTACCATTTAATTCGTGATTCTAACGTATTCGACAGTGTTATATAAATCACTCCATGATTTACAGCAGTTTAATCTTCTTAGGGATATTTAGCTTATGCTATTTGTTTAGATATTTTTTTTCTTCATAGAGTAAGGCGAAGTTTGGCTGAGATGTCACAGATTTTGCATCAGTAGGGTCCATGCAATGGGCTATTGTGTTCTAGCTTTTTAAGCATAGAGATTTGAAAATATGCATCTAGAGGCAAAAATTATGAAAGAAGTTTAATGAAAGGGTTGGGATTTTACTCTACCGCTTCTGAGTTGTGTGTCCTTGAGCAAGTTAGTGTTCTTTTCTAGGCATCTGTTTCCTAATCTGTAAAATGGGGATAATAATAATGCCAGCACCCAGAGTTATTGGGAGGATTAAATGAGATAATGCATGGAAAGAGTTTTTTCTTAAACAAAGTGACTGGCATAGCCAAAGTCATGTGATTAAAAACTTACATTTAGGAGTTCTTTGAGTTTGTGGATGAATACCTTTTTTGTTTAATACTTTTTAATATAAAAATAAAAGATTCTATTTATACCTTTTATGTATAAGCTAATTATCCTGATGTTCTTTATTATAGCCTTTCATTATAATTATTATCTAAATTATCTTTAGTAACATGTTTATCTATGTAAAGCAGTTGGAATATGGGGAAAATGTCTCAACTAATCCAGGACTCTGCAGAGAAAATAAAGTTAGAAATAAGACATGGCCCCATATTTTCAGCACAGGGAGCAAGTGTATGAGCTCATTTAAGTATTGACTTTATAATATTTTAGAAGCTATCAAATAAAGGAACAGCAGTTTGTTTTTTTCTGTATCGGGCTTCTACTTTACTTTTACTGATATCCTTTTAATGTATGCATACACAGCTTGGTTTCTTGTACCTCTTCACAACAGACTGATAAGCACTTGGTGGAATTGTCAAATTACACATTGGTTTATTGTATCCTTCTTTGTCTCTAGGATGATTGAGGAAAGTGGGAACAAGCGGAAGACCATGGCAGAGAAGAGGCAGCTGTTCATAGAAATGCGTGAGTCCTGAGTGCTTCTGGAATCCTGTTTGTATGTGTGGGAATGTTTTTTTTTTTTTCCCCGATCAAGTCATAGCATTAATCATAAGTTTTATGTTACAAGCTTTAGAAAGGGAAGAATGGGAGTTAAAGAATCGTGCAGTTGGAGGACACCAAGCCAGAGCATATATTTTAATTGAATTGACTTGAATTGCTTTCTTCAAGGTCATAAATAAAAAGGCAGAAATGTTACCTAAAATATCTGTGAGTTTAAGGCATGCCAGTCAATTTAGACTTCTTGCTGTAACTCCACTGTTACCATGAGATTGCAGGTGGTGATAAGTAATTAATACATTATATTGTGTAAATTACCTTACACTAGTTAAAGATTCTAAGGTAGCGAGGACTAAGTGTTAGGAAACACTTAGAGCTGTAGGAAAAAGTAAAAGCAGGAATGTGTACTTTGGTGTATTACTTTACTATATACCCTTTGAAATCTTCTGTTAAAAAATTCTTAAATTGATGTATTCTTATTTATTCTCGTATATTCCTATATTCTTATATGTTTCTTATATGAAACTCAAACAAAGAAAAAGATGGCCAGGAAGAGTAGGGCAGTTCCCAGTATTTGAAGGATTGTTTTGTTTTGCGATTGCTTGTCTGTGTGACCTTGACCAGTGCGTTCACACTTGGTGGACCTCAAATTCCTTAGCCAGGAAATAAGGTTATTAGTTTGTACCAATGATTGTGAAACCTTTTAAAAGCACTGTGCTCCTTACAAGGACCTTCAACATGAGTGTCATAAAATTCATTCTGCTTGGCTGAAGCAGGGGGTGGGGGTGGTGGGGGTGGGGTGGGGGGGTGGGGGAAGTAGGAGTCAGCTTGAGACGGCCCCTGAGGTAGTTGCAGAATTCTAGAATTCTACCTACCACAGAGTGAAAATCAGCAGATCAAGTCTCAGAAGACCCTTCCAACTATCAAGCTATTTTAAGTCTTCAGAGTCTTAGTAATGGGAGGCAGAGTTTGACTCAACTCAGACCTACGTTGTCCTGCCAAGCAGAGCCTAGATAACTGTTCGTTAAAGGAGGAAAAGAAATTTTTGGCATTGGTTAGGCAGTCGGTCTGGGTGACCTTTAAGGACTTTTGTAGCTCTGAGTCCTTAACTGCTAGTCATCTAAGCCAGACGGCTTGGAGTCACTTCTCTCCACCTCACCTTTCACCTCCAAGGAAATGGCACAGTGCAGCTGGGTGTTCCCTCAAAAGTGAGTCTTGAATCTGTCTGTTCCTCATACCATGATGGTGTTGAATCCAGGCTCTGCAGTCAGATTGCCTGGGTTTGGATCTAGGCTCCCTCACTTCCTGGCTGTATAACCTTGGGCAAGTTACTTTCTCTCTCTGTGCTACAGTTTCTTCATCCATAAAATGGGAATTGTACCTACTTCATAGAACTATCATGAAGATTAAATGAGGTAATGTGACTAAAGCACTTAGCACATTCCTTTCCCAGATAAGTAGTTATTTAATGTGGCTAGCTGTGTTTTTTTTTAATTCCTCTTTTTTTTTATTGTGGTAAAATATACATAAATCATATTTATTTTAACCATTTATAAATATGCAGTTCAGTGGCATTAAGCTGTGTTTATTATTAATATTTGTATCCTTGTTACTTTTCTAAACTAAAACAGTCGGTTTCTGATCCTTTCCTTCAGTCTTGACACTCTCAAATCGGTGATCTCTGATGCTGCCAGATTGAACCCAGATTTATTCTAGGTTACTTCCTTCTTAAATCCCTTCAGGGCTCGTCATCACAGTCCTGAGAAAGCCCAAGCTCTGCAGTGTGCCAGATGAGGCCCTTCTGGACTCTTTTTCTTGGTTCCCAGTTTCCATCACATGCCTTGTGTGTCATTTCCCAGCAGTTCTGAACTGGCTTTCCCCAAGATAGATCGTGTTTTCCATATCCCTGTGCTGTTGCTTATGGGGTTGCCTTCACCTTCATCTGGCTTGTTGTTCCTGCCTACCCTTCCAGACTCAGCAAAAGGACCATCTTTTCATTTAATTTTTAACACATTTACTGAGAATCTGTTACATTCCGGGCACCATTCTAGGTGCTAGGGTTATAGGGGAGAACAAAACAGTCCCTGACTTCACTCATGCCACTTACATTTTAAAAGGGAAACCGACAAAAATGGAAACCAAATAAATAATAATTCCTCATACTAAGAATTACCTGGGGTGCACTCACATGGGCATGTGAGAGAGCATGACTGGGGTAGATATTTGAAGTAGAAATTGGGTATTCTGCAAAGAATTGGGTTTACTACTTAGTGAATGTTATCACTGACACACTAACTTCATATAAATTACCATTCTCTGTAACAAACTCAAGGATATGAACAGCCTGGGAGATGTTTGGTGGGTATGGCTTCTTGAGCCTCCTCTGTTTCTTCACAGGAGGTATTGCATTGGTGGCAATGGTATCTTCTGTGGGAAGCCCCACTCTCATTTCCAACATCACCCCAAATCTGCGTTATAATTACTTTCTGAGGATGCAGAAATCACCATTTGCCAGCCTTATGACTTGGCCCTATCATCTAGGTATTGGGTTGATTTTAGTATGTCAGTTTTGAATCCGATGATCTTTCTCCACTCTTTCATTAGTCTTAATGGTTAGTTTATACTTCTGCTTAGGTAGGTAACTACATGTGCATCATTTTTTAAAAAGACTTTATTTTTTTAGAGCAGTTTTAGGTTCATAGCCAAATGAAAGAGGAAGGAACAGAGCTATCTCATATATACCCCCTGCCCTGGCACATGCATGGTCTCCCCCACTATTAGCACCCACACCAGAGTGGCACGTCCATTACAACTGATGGACCTACATTGACACATCATAATCACTCAAAGTCTATGGTTTACATTAGGGTTCATTCTTGGTGGTGTACATTCTATGGAACTGCATTATTTTTAAAGAAAGGCCATTTTGACTCTTATTTTTGCAATCCTTATACCTCTTTTTCATGACCTACTGTACTGGTTAGGACCTCAGATATTGTATTTAAGAGTTGGGAAGATAGCAGGCATTCTTGTCTTGTTTTTGACTTGAATGGGAATGGATGTAATATTTCACTATTAAAATGATATTTGTTGGGCTTCCCTGGTGACGCAGTGGTTGAGAGTCCGCCTGCCATGCGGGGGACACGGGTTCGTGCCCCGGTCCGGGAAGATCCCACATGCCGCGGAGCGGCTGGGCCTGTGAGCCATGGCCGCTGAGCCTGCGCATCCGGAGGCTGTGCTCCACTACGGGAGAGGCCACAACAGTGAGAGGCCCGCATACCGCAAAAATAAAAAATAAATAAAATGATATTTGTTGTAGGTTTTGTACCCTTCATCAGGTGAAAGATCTACTTTTCTGTCCTAATTTACCAAGAGTTATTACTGTTATTTTCTTTAAATCACGAATGAGTATAGAATTTTATCAGTTGTTTTCTGCTTCTCTTGAGATGATACAGTGACATATAATATATTTCTCCTTAACATACATAGTTCTGGGGCCAGCAGTCTTTTTCTTAAAGAGCCAGAAAGTAAATATTTTAGGATTTGCAGGCCATGTGATGAGTTCTCTGTCATAGCTACTCAACTCTGCTGTTGTAGCATGAAAGCGGTCATAGGAATTTAATAGTTTAGATAGCTTGTGTTTTTTATCTTGTGTTACCTTTATTGTTGTGCCTTTCAGTAGTATTCTTAAGCCTTTCTATTTTTAGACAGTATGTTTTAATTTCCTATTTTGAACAGTGATGAAATCAGTTTGTTCTTTCTTTGCTTAATATTTTATCTTCTGGACTCTAAGCACCATGAAAGTAAGAATCACATGTATTTATCATGGTAGCCCCAGCAATTCAATAAGTATTTATTAAAGGAGGAGTAGAATAAATTACGTACAAATAATTTGATAGTTTACGATTTTTACATGATGTAACATTACTAAGAAAAAGGAAGGGTGATAATCTCTCGACTCTCGTGCTAAAGTAAAAACTTTCTAGATGAGTCTACAAAATACTTGATGCCAGGCCTCCATGCTCAGAGATTCCAGAATTTTTCCTTTTCCAGAATTTTGTCACTTTTATTGGTCTTCTCAAGGAACTTTGGCTTTATTGGTCCTCTCTATGTATCTTTGTTTTCTATGTCATTATTTCATGCTATTACGTGGTTTATTATTTTCTTCTTTCTACTTTAGGCAGTTGTATTTTTCTTTTTCTAATGTAGGCCATTTATTTTCAGACTTTTTTCTTTCTTATGTAGGCATTGAAGAATATACTTTTCTGTGATTTTCTATTTTTGTATTACATGTGTTCTGATATATACTATTTTCATTATCAGATCTCTGTGTTTTCTAATTTCTGTTGTAGATTAATGAGAAGTATCCTTTTAAATTCGTAAATGAATGTCTGTTTTAATAATAAAGATATTTAGCTTAATGGGATTATGGGTCAGGGAGTGAGGGATGTTCTAGAATCTTTGTATTTGTTGATATTTATATGTTTTTCTAAATATTCCATGAGTGCTTGAAAATCATGTGTATGATTTCTGTGTTATCTAGATCAAGCTCATTATGTTTTACTAAAATCTTTTTGTCTTTTCTGATTTGACTGCTTGATCTTAATTACTGGAAGATGTTAAAAATCTCTGCTTTGATCATGGATTTAAAATTTCCCCCCTGTAGTTCTGTGTTTTGAAGCTTTTGTATTTAGATGCATATATATTAAAATGTTCTGTCTACCTGGGAAATTGAATCTTTTATTATTATATAGGTAAACTTTTTTTTTCTAGTAATGCTTTTTTGCTTCAAAGTTTGTTTTGTTGTATATTAATATATCTATACCAGCTTTTTTTTTTTTTTTTTTTGCAGTACACGGGCCTCTCACTGTTGTGGCCTCTCCCGTTGCGGAGCACAGGCTCCGGACGCGCAGGCTCAGCGGCCATGGCTCACGGGCCTAGCCGTTCTGCGGCATGTGGGATCTTCC